ATATCTTGTGGTATTGGTGGGTTTTGCTGGATCGAAGGCAACATGAATAGTGAGTTGTATCACCAAATACTTCATGAGGATTTTTTGGGTATGGTTAGGGATCATGAGTTTGATTTTTGCAACATTATTTTCCAGCAAGACAACAAACCTAAACATATAGCAAAGCTAACGTTGTATTGGTTGAGAAATAATCAAGTTAGGGTGTTGGATTGGCCCCCCCAGTCCCCTGATCTTAACCCCATCAAACATTTGTGAAATGAGGTTGACTAACAACTTAGAAACCTCTCTGGACAAATTTCAGGTAAAGAAGACCTGTGGAACAAGATCCAGGTGGTTTGGGAACAAATCAGTGTTAAGACCTGCACCAACCTGATTCAATCCATGCCCGAACATGTTCGTGATGTTATCAAGGCATGCGGTGGATACACCAGGTGGTAGAGGCCAAAAGGATTAGAATAGAAAAAAAAATTTTTTTTTTATATGTAAAAAATTTAATATTGTGTTGCATTACATACGATCAAAAGTAATGCAACACGTCAAATGAAATAAAATTTGGGTAAACGAAAATTTAGGTTCATTTATTTTTTTTACATGAAATCTATAGTATTCACGAATAAATTAAAAAAATAAAAAAAAGGATACGTCTAGAATTGCTCGAAATAACGTGATCTAAGCAAAATTTTTTTTTTGCTCCATTACTTGTGATCGCCACTGTATCAAGTTTCTTGAAATTAGACATTACTCAATAAATAATAAATAAACTCGCCTAAACATTTTTTTTATTTTTATTTTTTTAGTAAGACTACTTTCGGGCTCTAGTTTAAAATTATAAATAAACTATTCCAAAAAATAAATACTAGTTATTTTTTTATTAATATAATTTACGGTTCCTCTTTTGGCACAATCATCTCTCTATATTGTTTGATAGAATCGCCTTCAAATTTCCTAACTTTTCCAGATTCACAGATCCAAATTTCTGTACATACAGAATCAATGAACCGTTCATCATGAGAAACAAGGATCACTCCACCTTTAAATTCTTTTAGAGCATTTGTAAGGGCATCGATTGAATCCATATCGAGGTGGTTGGTTGGCTGTGTTTGAATATCCATTATATTAAGCAAATATGTTAAAGAAAACTAAATCAAAATTATCAATTTTTAAATGCTTACTTCATCCAATATCAAAATATGAGGATGTTGTAATCCCAAGCAAGCAAAGGAAACTCTACTTTTTTGGCCACCGGACAAAGTCTTCAATGACTGTAAACCCGTCATTCCTGTAATGCCAAAATTTCCTAATTGACGTCGATATTCTTCTTCAACTTTCCCCGGAAATTTCTGAGCCATAAAAGCTACTGAATTCATATCGAGGATCAACTGATCCACATGATGTTGCATGAAATGTGCAAATCTGAGACGTCCATGTCGGTGCACCAGACCAGAACGCGGCTCTAGTATCCCCGTTAAAAGTTTGAGCAGAGTAGATTTACCTACGTATCCATTTTTAAAATAATTCAATATATTTCGTTATTAAATTTAATCAATGCATACAAAAGCGTAATTTATCATATCAATTAGGAAAAATATTACCCGCTCCATTTGGACCGACTACAGCTATACGTGAATCTAATTGAACAGAAAGGTTGACGTTCGATAGAATAGTAGGACCATTCGAATATCCAAAAGTAACATCATCTAATTGAAGGATAGGCGGACTTAATGCATCGGGATTAGGAAACCTATTAAGAGAATTTATGGTAGTATACATCATATATATTGATTTGAATAAATGAAAATAATTCATATGATAACCTTACTTGAAAGTGACACCAACTTCGACTTCCGGAGGTTCCAATACAGGAAGCTTCTCCAATATCTTAATTTTACTTTGAGCTTGCGGACCTCTTTTAGCATTATATCGCCAGCGGTCAATAAAGTCCTGTAAATGTTGTCTATATTGCATCTGGCTTTCATATTCACGTAGGTGATTCTTGCGACGTTCTTCTTTTGTAGCATAGAATTGTGTAAAATTACCCTTGTAATAATCGAGACGTTCGGAATGTTGATGTAAAATATCAGTTGCTACTTCGTCCAGGAATTCTATCATAATAAAAAGAAAATTGTCTTGAATAACCAAATTCACTAAAGGAAATCAATAAAGAATTAGTATAAGTTCGTCTTGATTCTATACCTCGATCGTGAGAAACAACAAGCAACGTGCTCGGCCATTTTTTGAGGTATTGTTCTAACCACGCGACAGCAGGAATCTTTGTAAAAATCGCGCATTGGATGTTAAAAACCATCATCTACGCGATGTTGTTGTAATTTCGATTACTCCATCACAAACGCTTATCTTACATCTAACATATTAGTCGGTTCGTCCAATAATAACAAATCAGGTCGGCAAAACAATGCCCTTGCTAACGCAAGACGCATTCTCCAACCACCCGAAAATAATTTTGTAGGATTTCGATGTTTATCTGCCGGAAAACCCAATCCAGATAAAATGGCAGCGGCGCTTAAATTTTATAAATGAATTGTTTGATTATTTATGTGAAAATATATAAAGATCAAAATTTTGAAATAAAATAGTTGAATTTACCGTGATTCAGCCTTATCACTCTCGATTTCTTCTAGCTTTTGATATATTTCTTTCAATCTTGTATTGGCAGCATCTTTTTTTTGTTCAAGAGTAACTTCGTCAAATGCTTCAGGATTTTGCTCTAATTCGCTAATTTGCAAGTTTAATGATTTCTCTTCACTTAACAAATGTTCTCTCCAAATATCAGCACTCAATACAGCTTGAATCGCAAGTGTATCATCACCTTCCATCTAAGATGGGATCCAATTTTGCAAAATTGAAAAATGAATAAAGAGAATGTTCATAAAGATGTAATATACATATATACCTCTTGTTCCACATGTAAAATGCTGATATGTGTTGGAACACTAATTTCTCTTCTTGACATAGTTCTCAATAAAGTAGATTTACCAATACCATTTCTTCCAATTAATCCATACCTTCTACCATAGGTTAAAGATAAATCTGCGTTTGTCAATATCCTCTTCCCACCGAATGAGATATCAAAATTTTCAACCTTAACGTCCTTGAGCTTTCCTTTGGTCGTTGTATAATCCAATATAGGATTTACTTGCATAAGGAATTCATCATTATTCTTCTTTGAAAGCAATTTACTCGCTTCATAATTTGATCTTCGTTCACGTTTCTCTATTTTGGACTTAATCTTGGCTTCAGCTTTTTCTAATTTCTTGGTATCAACTCTGGTACTAATTTTTCTTCCACTAACGGCTTCTAAATCTACACTCTGAGCGGCTAAGCCTGCTGTTGCAGAAATAAAATTTGTTGTAAGCATATTTACGGGTTGCTCTAACTTATTAAGTCCCTGATTATTAGAATTATTATTCGAAGCATTTGTTTGCACAAAGAACTCCGATAACTTTTCGCATAACTTTTGAATCCTTTCTTCCTCGCCACCTGCATCTACTAAGATTGGCCGAACAAAGTCTGTAATAGCATCTTCACCGTCAGTTCCAGACTGTGCTTCGTTGAGGTAACCAACGACATATTCAACAATAGCATCGTCAATATTAGGAACGGACTGTTTTATCAAGTCTGAAACATTTGCAAGATCAACCAAAGCCATTGTGGGAGTGAAAAGAGAAATTTACAACTTTTATTTTATATAGTTGCTCAGACATTCGTTTGATTGGCTGATGTCTATTTACGATTTAGAGCTTTTTGGAAACGTAACGTTTCACCGATCTATAACAGATCTAATCTGAATGTTCGTTGCGAAAAGGATCGTACTCATATAAGACAAATATACTATAATACCGTTTTTTTTTTGAAGTAGTTTGCAATGTATCGTTGAATCTACAAAAAATAAATAAATAAATAAATAAATTTTACCAACTTGATTCAATATTTATTAATTAAGTAAAAATGGGTAATCCCAATTTTCTACTGTATATGCTATATTTTTTAAGCTATAAACGAACGTCTTTTGATCCCACATTAAAATTAAACCTAGTTGCCAACTTTAGCACTTATAATTAATAGTTATCAGGCGGCTTACTATGATTTTCTGCCCAATAATTTTATTATTGGGCAGGGACAATAGATTAAATTATTTTAAACTTCGTTTCTGCCAATAATAAAATTATTGGGCAGACAAATCATAGTAAGCTGCTGGTTAAAAGATTTTTACCTATATAATTGGTTATGTAATTCTCGAATAACTTTTATTAACACATTTCTTCACTTTACACTTTTAAAATTTTTTGCAGAAGCATAAAACAAACATATTAATAAAAAGTTATTTATTATAAACACACCTATGGTGGTTTTGCACCTTTCATATGTTTTATTATGTTTTTTTAGATTTTTCTAGTTTTGAATATAAAATTTTCACACAAAATTTTCATGCTAGTATTTAGGGTTAGGGCTAGGGTTTGAAAAGAAAATAATAATCTCCGAGACCTTGGGCATGAAGGAACAAGTAAAAAGAAAGCAAGGTTTGAGAAAAAATAGAGAAACTAAAAGTATCGCTTGGAAAAACAAACCAGCATGATTTTTGCTAGTTAGAGTTCAGGAAAACTTTTAAGTGCTTTTGACATGGTATATAGCAGCCAATCGATAACCAAGGGGAGTATCAATATATTGTGATAATAATTGTAGTATTATTATAGTTCTATAGTAAAGTTCTCTTCCAGATAATATATAGTTATTGGATGCGAAGCAGCCAATAACTCGAGTTATTTTGGCAGCACTATCATAGTAAGCTGCCGGATAATATGGGTTATGGTTGATATTATACCAAAAAGTTTGTCCGTCTGTTAATATCCCATATGGACTTTGGTTTAGACAAGATGAAAATGTAGAGTAGGATGTTTCAATCTTATCCTTATTTAACATATATACAAATTTTTCTAAAAATCTTTGTTTAGTATAAAATGTTGGTTCTAAGGATAAATTAATCAACGGCCTTGGTAATGCACGTTCATAAAGTCACCCATCACTTTGGCACTATAATCTGTATTTTGTGGTTCTTTTAGAAACTTGTTCCAATAAGTCAAATATTTGTTTGGAAATACTGTTTTTATATCCATACGGATAGCCATAACTTGATAAAAAGAGGGTAATTTATTCTCTTGTAAAAAAACCCAAAATGCTAGTTTATTCCAACGTTTCAACTTTGTTTTATTTGGATCTTGTAGATCAAACCCTTGTTGTTTTAATAATTTGATTTGATTTTTTGCGGAAACTGGCTGATTAGTTTTCAGGTTATAGAATTCGATAATTTTAAAGTGTTGATGGTATTGTTTCTTTGTTTTTGGCAATGTATGTAAGGGATCTGTTCGAACTCGTACTCCATAACCTTATACATGACAAATTTTCATCCTCACAATATTCATGAGCAAATTGCTTGTATAATTGAGGTCGGAAAGCATATTTCTTGTATTGAATTTAATAGATATTTTTTTGATTCAAAATCACTTTGATAATATCTAAAGGCAGTGCGCCTTAATAATACAGCATCAATGTCGTTTATGATCATGAATCTAGGATGTTTTTCCAAGGTCATTGATTTTATTGTAGGAGCTCTTGCATTATATCTAGCTTTAAGGAAAGTGTCAAGAATTCCTCTTTCAAATGGGTGTCGATGTGAGTATAAAGCTCTCGATCCTAAGTATTGTATTTGTTCTATATCATTGGCGATGTCGAAGTCGAGAAATATATTATATTTTTCCATGCATCTTTTTAATTTATCAAGATCCATGTTCTTTAGGTCCAATGTAATCATCACCAAAATTGTATAAAATATTATTTTTATAAAACTCTTCTGGAGTTTTCTTTCAATCATGATAATCACACCATCCAGCAGTAAAGTCTATATTAAAGCCTTTAGCATTATACCAGCTAGTGGCAGAGAAACCTGTTCCACCGCCTCTATTTTTATAATGCATATTATTTATAATATCTCGATGTTTATGAAAAGACAGTAATTGTTCTTCTAATTTATTATTGTTACGGGCTGAATTGTATCCTTTTAATAAGGTTAACACGAAAATATACAGTTTTAGGTGATAAGGCAACTCGCCAGAGGCGTGACGTTGGGGTGTCCAGTGTACTATGTTGATCAAATATATGTATAGTCCCATATGAACAATTTTGTGTGTAACAATCGCGA